TAATATTATTAATGAAAAGTATTTTTATTTAAAAAATTGAAAATTACCATCGCAAATGCATTTGAGTACGCGTGGGGATTAGCATTTAGCATCGCATGAAGAGGATATGACTGGTGCCGAGAATTTCGCGGCCCTGGAGGTCAAAGGGTTAGGTTGGCAACAACAGCGAAGAAATTTGGTGTCTAAATTAAGTGGGCCTTACGTCCATGGGTCCACACCCAAACCATCACAATTACGTGAAATTAAACATTCATTTTTTTTCTTCTGCCGAAAGAAAAAAACCATCCATTTTTTCTTCTTTTTCGACTCATAAATAATTTATTAAAAAAATATTTTATAATCTAAATTATTTTAAATAATAAAATATTAAATTTTAAATAAAAAAATTTATTTTATGATATAAAATAATTCAAACCACAAAATAATAGTCAAAAAAAGATATTTTTGTATCTTTTCTGCGTGAATATGCCTCTCCCGTCTCACAAGGAGCTGTCTTCGACATTTGACTCTGTCCGTTCTGGATTTTGGTTTCGTGTTCTCCGGTGCAAGATCCCTTAAGGCGGCACTGCTTAGTGCTCTAAATAGAAAGATTTAGTACTTTTTAATGCAAAATTGAAATAATTTAATAGAGATTTATTTTTTATTATATAATATTTAAAACATTACGATATGTTAATTTTTATTTTTTTATTAAATTATTATATTAAGAAATATTTTTTTATCTAATGATTTAAATAGCATAGCTTAATACAATTTTAATTATATAATATTTTTTAAAAATATAGATAAAACACAAGATTAAAATCATTTTAATCAAACTTCTATTAATTGGTCCGTCATTACGGTATATTATTATATCTTTTAGCGGCCCACTAATTAACGAATACTCTGATCAGACGGTTAAGGAACCGCCCGCAAATCCTGATGGGTGCAGGTAATATGGACCGCGTCACTCTGGCTTCACTTAAAAACGGTTCCCAAACGTCGAATGGCCATTATACGATGCGTTTTTGCCAAGTCGGAAAATTAAGAACATAAGGGGGAGAAAAAGGGGCCAATTCAGTTCCCTTTGCGCATCGTGAAAAAAAAAAGGAAGTCTGTTTTCTCTCTCATAATTTACAGTTCAACAATGGAATTTCTGCAGGACGCTGGGATCCGCGTTTCTTGATAGCAGAGACTAATCCTGTTTCGTCGTCGCATCCTCTCATTCTTTTCGCGCCTAATTCATCGCATTCCGATTCCTTCCATCCCCCTGTTTCTGCCTTCGCTGTAATTTTCTCTCCGTTTTTCTGTTTGGATGATTTTCCTTCTCATTTTTCATTTTTTCTCTGTATCGATTTTGTGCATCCATTGTCAGATTCTCGTCTTTTTTGCATTATTTACAGATGAATATCAATATTAGGAATGTGATGTTTATCTGCATTGATCTGGATTGGATTCTTTGGATTTCATCTTCTCATTGGCGTTCGGTTATTATTATTATCTTTTGTTTTCGATGTTTCTTTATTCCTGTAAATTCGTCAATGAATCTGATTGTTCATTTCGATAAGCATTGGATTCTTGATTTTATGTATAAGATCTCGATGATTTTTTCGTTGTTTTCGCCGTCTGAGCTCTTTATTATGATAATTGCTAATCGATTCATTTTTCTTTTTGCTAATATCTGATCGTTCTTGTTTTCGTTTGATTGAAGAATTTATGATGTGGTTTGATCAGTAAAATCTGTTGAATTGGCTATTTCAGGATCTTCTTCTGTTTTTTTAATTCATGGAAAATTAGAGGGCGTTGTCTCAGGAAGAGGTAGTTACTGGTGTTAGGATTTGCAAAGCCCAAACAAAAACAATGTCCTCTAGGTGTGAACATCAAACTGTGCCGCTGTCCGTACTTCTGAAGCGAGAATTGGCGAGTGAAAAGGTTGAGAAGCCGGATATTGTACATGGACTGGCCAACCAGAGCAAGAAAGGAGAGGATTTCACGCTGCTGAAAAACGAATGCCAAAGAGCAATGGGAGATGGTGTCACCACATTCTCTGTTTTTGGGGTATGTTTTTGGGCGTTAAAAGTTCTTCGTTGACCTATAGGTCTACACATTTGACCGCGTTAGTGCTCCTGCAATTTTCTCGACTATGAAATTCTACTAGTTTTGGTACATGCTTAATTACTTAGATGCTATGGGGTGAGATTCATGATTGGAAACCTAAAGTTTGGTCCACCGAGAGATCAAGCTTTTGGTTTTTTAAGATAAAATTGTTTTAGATTCTGTATTTTCAAGGCAAAAATGGTTCTCATGTTTTCTAAATTTTAATTCAGAATTTGGAAATTTACTTGTCCTTTGTATTTCTGTAAAATAGTATAATTATTGGTGCATCTCATTTATAGTCTGACTGTTCTAAGGTGGCAATTTCCTATCACTATTTCTTCCTTGACTAGTTCTTTGCCCTTAGAATTGACCAGAAGCGATTCCCATTATTCTTCATTGCTTTTACTTGTTTTTGATTGCTTTCCTAACTAAACATTATTTTTCAGATATTTGACGGACACAATGGATCTCAAGCTGCAATTTACACCAAAGAGAATCTCCTGAATAATGTCTTAAATGCTATTCCCTCAGATCTTAACAGAGATGAATGGATTGCTGCATTGCCAAGAGCCTTGGTTGCTGCCTTTGTTAAAACAGATAAAGATTTTCAAGCAAAAGGTATGGATTTCATAAATTTTGCTATCATTTATGCTATAGATTAGCTGTTGGAGTATTCAGGAGTATTTTTCTAGTTATAAATTTTAATTTATTGTAATTCTAAACTTTGTTCTGGAGTGGATATTCAACACCCTTGCTTGTTAAGGGTGTAGAAATAATCACTTAAGAAACTGTGATGTATACCCAGAATCATGTTCACTGCAAGGTATTTTTAACTTCTTTTAGGGTAAATATAATATGTTTTTCTTGTGTATTTTCCATTTTGAACGTGATGGATATGGTATTGAACCTTGATATAAGAACTTGTAAAATGTTCCTTTGAGCTCTGTGGACAATCATGTTGTACATTTTGTCTCGCAATTTTTGCCTTTGGTATATCCCACTTTCTTCTTCTCATTCATCATTTATATTCCATAGTTTGACATTAATAAGTTGTATTTACTTTTCCAGCACGAACATCAGGAACAACTGTGACCTTTGTCATAATAGAAGGTTGGACAATAACTGTCGCATCTGTTGGTGATTCCCGCTGTGTTCTTGAATCTGCTGAAGGTGGAATCTATTACTTGTCAGCTGATCATAGGCTCGAATGCAATGAAGAAGAGTAAGATACAAAAGTTTTTGCTGAATCATTAAAATTTCTTCCTAATAATATGAGATCTTACCTCCTTCATTTTACTAGGAGAAACCGGGTTACTGCAAGTGGAGGTGAGGTTGGTCGACTAAACACTGGAGGTGGTGCAGAGGTATTTTTCATCCATTACAATGGAGTATTTTGTATTTATCAGTACTTTTTGAAGAATTTCTCCTTCCTTAGTTTGTTCTTCTCTAATGTGGCACTTAAAACCCCCAAAAGAAAAGAAAAAAAAAAAATCTTTATTTCCTTGGGCTTGTCAACGAGGATAAATTGGTTCTCTGTAGAAATTTCAACCATAAAACTTAAGCAAAACTGCATTTGATTCTTGCCTTGTATGTAGAAGGTGATCTAATAGTTAAGTTATTTTGTAGATTGGTCCATTGAGATGTTGGCCAGGAGGATTGTGTCTTTCACGATCAATCGGAGATATGGATGTTGGCGAGTTCATTGTTCCTGTTCCTTATGTGAAACAAGTGAAGGTCTGTCTTCTGAATTTGTGGATTTGTTATATTTGATATTTTTTGGTGGGTCTTTTCTCTGTACTTGAATCACATCTTGGGCTTGAGGATTCATTTTTGTGAACTTATTCCATATGATATATTTTAGTGCCTTAATTAGAAAAATCAAATTAGTGGGTATGAATGATTCAGGTATAGTTATGTCATCTATTCTGATTAGATGTTTCATGTCTGTGTACAGTGGTATATGGGAGAGCCATTAATTTCACATTCTCTATAGCACTTTTAAAGTGTTTTTGCATTTGACGTTTCCTCCCTTATCCTTGTATTGAGTTTCCTTTAAGAGGTTGCCCCATCCATTATCATTGTTCTGCAGTTGTCCGCAGCTGGAGGTAGGCTCATAATTTCAAGTGATGGTGTTTGGGATGCTTTAACTGCAGAAATGGCTTTTGATTGTTGTCATGGAATGGCACCAGATGCTGCAGCTGCACAAATTGTTAAAGTATGGTGATATCTTGTACTTCTTTAATTGACTATGCTTTTTGGTTTTCTTTTGGGTCCCTGGTGCAGCTGCACCTTCGAACCCTGCATTGGTATGTCAACCTTTTCTTACTTTTCTTGTTCCATGAGCATGAGCAGGAAGCTTTAAAGGCCAAGGGCCTTCGAGATGATACAACCTGCGTAGTTGTTGATATATTGCCGCCAGAGAAGCCTGCAGCTCCTCTGCCACCACCAAAGAAGGCAGGTAAAGGAATGTTCAAGTCCATGTTTCGCAAGAAGTCTTCTGAATCATCTTCTCAACTTGACAAAGAATATATTGAGCCAGATGTAGTGGAAGAATTATTTGAGGATGGGTCTGCTTGGCTTTCAGAAAGGTTTGTGATTGTGAGGAACTGAGAATTCTCAGTAGCTGGAAACCTGGAAATGTTACTTTTTTTGAGGACTAAACAAGATAATTTGTAGTCTCATCACAAGGGGAATCTTTTTGGTTGGATGCAGGTTAGATACAAAATACCCACTGTGCAACATGTTTAAGCTGTTTACGTGTGCAGTCTGTCAAGTGGAGATCAAACCTGGAGAGGGTATTTCGATACATGCTGGCTCATCTAATTGTGGAAAACTTCGTCACTGGGATGGCCCTTTTCTTTGTGCAAGTTGCCAAGAGAAGAAAGAGGCCATGGAAGGGAAACGATTGGGAGGTATAGAAGAGCTCTCTCTCTCTCTCACACACACACATTTATAATCAATTTATGTTAATATTCTTGTTTTTTCTGTTTTCAGATAGACGCTGTAGTGAAAGTGACTAGCAAGACCTCCCCGATTATAGTTGTGCTTTCTGGGACTAACAATTGTTTTAGAGGCAAGTCATAAATGGGAAGACGTGGCTTTCGCAAGATATTAATTTCCTTCAATTTCTTATTGGAGGGTTGGGAATTTTGATCTGTTATGCCACTTAACTCCAAACCCATGTGGATGATTTTGTGCTTGAAGTTGGAAGAGCAAAGTTGAAATGCATTCTAGTTTTAATGTTTTCTGGCTTCAGGAGGAAGGGGAAAATGTGCTTGCCTGATGTAAGAAGTGAAAATGAAAATAATATATGATGAAGGCTTCCATGGATTGGCCAGGGGTGCAAAATGGCATGTCTCTGAGGTAATTCATTCTATCTAGATTCTTCCAAAATTGTATGCCACTTGCTCTAATTTTTAGTTCTGACTCTAAACAGTAGTGGGTTTCAGTATAATGTTGTCATGATATAGGGAGTTTGGCTAGTATTCGTACAGATTTGTTGGAGAATAGGAAAACTTGCTTCATTCTATTACTGAGTGAATTTGTTCATGTATCATCAATTTCATTCTTCTTTTGACAAATAGGAAGGTGAATCTTTGGAATAGAGAAATTGTTAAAAGTTATGTTCTTTTCCTGTTCTTTTCAAAGAAATATATTTGCATTCTCTGCTGATCAGTCATTTCTTAGTTTGATGTTTGTCTAGTTAAATTAACTGAATTCTCTGTCAAATTTTTAGTCTCGCTTCATAAATGTGCTTCTAATTCTATTTGTATTTTGTTATGGTCCCCCACCAGCCCCTTCCCCCCGCCAAAATAGTTGATATTTTAGCTATACCTTAATTTGCTTTGGTTGTTTAATCCGTGTTGAATGATAGACACCTTTAACACACCTGTGGTGTTAATGAATCATAATTGGGACCAGTTTTGCTGTGGGGGCAAGTAGACATGGCTTGGCTGGAGGATGATGACTCTGTTCAAGTTTCATGTGAACTCGCTGTCCGGGACATCTCTGTTCCTTTTAAGCAAGATGTCCCGTTGAGGTCTTGGAAGCATCCATCATCTTCACTTAGCTGTTTCACATTGAAAACGAAAATTTTATGAGAAAAAAAAAAAAAAGGTAGACATTCAAAAATAACTAATATAGGGTTAGGGAATGGTAAATGAATAGTTAATGTAAGGTCACCTTTTAGCTCCGCAATATGTGACAGTTCATCAAGGTATTGATTCTAGCATTGACAGTTTTTCAATCTTACAATCACTCACACACACATTTATATCATACATTGTCCCCGATGACATTTTTTTTCAACAATTTGTCACGAATGCATTGAGAGCTGAGTATTGGGTGACATTTTTTGTAACCCTGTTATCGTCTCGGATAAGATCTGGAAATAGGCAAAGCAAGTGAGAAAGAAAATGAAAACTTTTTGTTGATTCATCGTTGTTCGTCCTGTTTGACTAGCGTTGTCTTCGTAGAAGAAATTGAATGGCTGAGGCAAAAAGCGGAAAAGTGAGTCTCCCCACACGGAGGATCTTCATATGGGTTTGAATAAGAAATCTTTGTTTTATACCATGTTTTCTTCTTTCCCTTATCTTTAGAGCAATAGAATATGATTTTGGGTGGCTAAGTGGTGAAGATGGGTCAGTCCACCAAAATAATGCCTCCATGATTGAGATGTTGATCTTGTAACTATTGTGAGCAAAATTCCTCTAGGACCACCTTCCTACTCGTGTGTGTGGGTCTACCACCTCCACCTAACTGTTAAAAACTCTAATTCCCATCTTAAACCCTTGCCCACATCGTGTCTCATCACCCCACTTTCAGTACCGCCCTGGAATCGAAATCCAACGGCTGAAACCTCCTTCACCGACTTCTTCTTCTCCTTCTTCCCCCATTATGTCTATATATTCTTAAATTGACTGATGAATAAACTATGTTGATACCAGCATTGTTGTCTTCTTTGTAGGGTCGTCTTCTCCTTCCCCCTCAACATTGAATCTTCAGCATTTATGATTTATGTATGTGATGCACCGCTCAAGATCTCTCTGTATCTTTAAGAACATTTTCCAAAGTTGCACTCAACTCAGCAGTGTATAGGATATTTTGGATTCTTTTGAAGACTCATAACGCAAGACGCATCTTACTATTTCATAATTAATCCAACTAATAATCATCAAAATATTCCCAAACCGATCCATTCAAGAAGAGTAAACCTTATCCATACCTAACGAAGTAACAATCTCAAAGGTTAGTAAGAAAGACTAATCCTTGGTTTCCAAATTGGTTGAACCAAACTACGGAGATGACTCAGACTTTAACCACCAACTTTCGTCAAATATCTCGTTTTCATTTGCGTGTGCAGCAGATTGAATTCAGATCTTTAGTTCTGTAAAAAAAAAAAAAAAAATTGTTATTCATACCAGAAAATTTGTAAGAAATTTTATAATGCATAATAAAGTGCAAAAATATTCAAAACTTTAAAAAATTATTATGACTACACGATAAATTGTTAAAGTCGCATAAATTTTTTAATTTTATCTCTTAAAACATTGATTCTATTTGTTTAATTGTTAAAAATAATTAATAACTATAATGGTTAATTGATAAATAATAAAATAATTTATATTTATTATTTAATATATTAAAATCAATATATATTAATATTTCTAAATATTATAATTGGCAACTTACATAATAATAATAATAATAGACTAATAGTATGTGTGGCTTAACCACTTCAAAGTTCCAACTCCAGTGAACTTTTCGTGCAAAAAGAGGAAATGGCTAAAAATGAGAGGCATAAAGCCATAAACAATATGGTAGTTAAATATAATCCAAGATTCCTCTTGAAACTGGAGCTTCATGTTTCTGTGTGTAAGGTGTGGACATTAACTAATGATTTATTTATTTATTTTTTAATTTTCCCAAAAGAACAACTCAGATACAGAAACACAAAGTCACAAACCCAAGCAAGATGGGATTTTTACTTTGCCCAAATTTGTATCTTTGTGAACCCTTTTTTTTGCTTTAATCAGCCGTTTCTGTATTAGCTGTTGGAGATTTGACAAGGACCCACCACCCCTTTCATCACATATACTGCTAAATCCATCGTCTCATCTCATCTCCAAGTGCCCCTTCCCACCACTCTTTCAAGAAAGAATAATGCAAAAGTAAAGCATATTTAGTCCTCTTTTTTTTTGTACATCAGACATCTTAACACCAACCGCCATTTGACAACAATTTCTCTCCTCTTCTCTCTTCCCACTTCTCTTCATCCCTCATTTCATCCTTTCGAAGGAAATTGAATCTGCCATCTTCTCCATTACAGCCGCTGGCCGTTTCTTGACCATAGGAGTGCTTATGCAAAAGTAGAGTATTTCTTACCTCTTCTTTCTTGCAGGTCTAACCCATTCTGGCTGGTTCAGCTCTATCCACTCTCACGTGATCTGCACATGGATACCCATCAGCAGCAAAGGATTAAAGACAAAGTTGTGGAGAAGAAGCAGGAAGAAGGGAAGATAAATTCCTCTGCTTCTCCTCCTTCAGCTTCTTCTTCTCCTTCCCATGAATTCTCCTTCACAATGTCTCTCCACTCTTCGACGACTGCGGATAAAACCAAACCCCCACCGTCGATTGCAATCGATTTGTCTCCAGCGGATGACATTTTCTTCCACGGCCACTTGCTTCCTCTGCGCCTCTTTTCGCACCTCCCTGTTTCTCCTCGCTCCTCCACCAATTCCTTGGGCAGCTTCTCCCTACCAATCAGTGATGAATTAGATGATAAAAAACCAGACGAACGCAGCAGCAATTGTTGCACGAGCAATAGCAATGGCGACATCAAATCCAGCATCCCCAATAATGAAACAAAGGGGAGAAAAAAACACAAGTCTTTTTCTTTGTTTTGGTTAGGAAAATGGCAGAAGGGTAATGAAGAAAGAGACACAGAAGATGAGGAGAAGCTGGAGAAGAAGAAGATGAGATTCAACGTTAGTCACGTGTTGAAGAGGTACGTGAGGATGGTACGGCCTCTGTTGTTCTTCAGGGGAAGGGGACAGAACCTCCATCTCCGGCAGCAGCCGTATTCATTTTCAGGTAATTTGAGTGATCTAAGGAATACTAAGCATGAGTTGAGAGGAAGAAGAGGACAATACTCTGCGCCGGTGTCTATGAGGACGTCTCCAACGAACAGCGGCCTTCTTGTTGCAACGGCTCCTCTTCCTTCCTCCGCCAGTGACAGCACCATGGAGGAGTTGCAGGCGGCAATCCAAGCTGCCATTGCTCATTGCAAGAAATCCATTGGCGTGGAGGACAAACTAAACAGCTAAGCCTTATTTTTAATGTCTTCCTTTTTATTTTCATGAGCATTTGAGCCTCTAATTATTTATTTTCCTATGTATAAAATCGTATATATAGAATTATGAATTTAGTTACAAAATGAACATATCTTTAATAGATTTTCATCTTCATGAATGAAAATCTAGTTTTTTTTTCAGCCTTTTCAATGCTTTTTGCACCAGACAAGCGATGAAGTTTCTAAAAAAAAATGTGATAAATATACCCTTAAAAAAAAAAATTCTATCTGGCTTAACTTCGAGCCTCACCAAGTGGCAGCAAATTGCCATTTTGCGAAATTTGTAACCTTCAAAGCCAAAAAAAGAAAAAAAGAAAAAAAAGAGAGAAAAAAACAAAAGGAATTTTACTACTACATTTTTAAGTTAGGTAAAACCGACACCGAGTTAGATGTGTCAAATTACCAAAGAGTTAGACGTACCAATTACCAAAGGCTGGTGCCCACTAGCCTAATAGTGACAATAGATTAAAATTAACACATGCTTCCTCTAAAATTACATCACTACTACAGTAATTCGGCGAAGCTGAAAATGACAATGTGTAATAGCCTAGGTCCCCACAAGATGAAAAGGAAATAAAAAAAAAGGATCAAAATCATTTATGTCATAGGAACAACCGAGAAAGAGAAAGTGATCCTAAAATGCGTTTCAATTAAGAAGGTCTGTGGTGGAATTAAGGACGGAGACAGATCTTTATGTTGGAGAGGATAAATTTTTAAAATTTTTTGTGAGTCATTTATTAGTTTAAATGGTATAATTTATATTAATTTTTAAATTAATAATTAATTTTGTGTACATATCACTTATATCAATTACACTAAATTTTCAATTAATTAGATATATTTAATTTTTTTAATAGCATATAATTTAAAGTCATTAAATAAATAGTATAAAAATATAATTTATTATTTTATAAGGTTAATTTATCAAATTAATTTTAAATTTAGAACATATAATTTATACGAATAGAATATATTTTCATCCATTGGTTATTACATAGAATATAAATTGTTCAAATAAAATTATATATAACTAATGTAAAAGTTTATATAAGTATATCAATTTATATATCAATATAACTAGATCTACCTAATTTTTTTATATTTGTTCTTACCTAGATAAAATTATTATGTTTTTATAAAAATTAGTTTCAAAGAGATAAATGATCCTTTTATCTTAGTTTTAAAAATATTTATTTTATATTTGATATTGTCCTATAATTTAAACTTTAAAAATAATATTTTGTAAAACACAAAAATATATGTACCATATTTGAAAATTTTCAAAAGTTTAAGGGGACGGCAGCCCCCTTTGTCCAATGCTGGCTCCGTCACTGGGTGGAATCCTAGATTTACTGATTGATAAATTTAAAATAAATAAATAAATAATGAAGGAAGAAATAGGGCACTTGAATAGGCCAATCAACAACGTTTGAGGAGGGACCTTACTTGGTCCAATATCACGAGGATGATTGTACCAATGTAAGAATTCTCTTGTTTCTTTTTGAATGTTTGTTTTTTATTAGGTCGAGTTGTTTGAATAAAACTTTTGTGCAAAGGTCATAGGTTGAAATTATAATGGATAAATGTTAAAAAATTGGTTAAAACCCCTTTTTGGTCCCTAAACTATTGTAC